ATATATATATATATATATATATATATATAAATATTTAAAATATATAATTTGATATGAATTGTAGGTGATGACTGTGGAAGGGATGCACGAAAGCTCTTTGTAACCAATTGACACACTTTTTACAATTTGTAATGGAAGATATTTTTATGGTGTTTGTTGTGTTTTGTCTGTTTGCGTTTATTCAAAAATAAAAAAATATTTTGCTGCCCTTCTGCCCCCTCCAAAAGCAACCTCGCAGGTTTTCAAGATCATTCGGAGAGGCGTTTTTTAAAAAGAAAACTTTGAAAAAGCCGCAAGATCTGGAGAGATGGGCAGGCGGTCTTTTGGGGAGGGGGAAATCCCCAGAACCAAGTTGCACAGCCAGCACCCTAAAGAGGTGCGTGAGGGGCTGTGGTGGCTGCAAAGCATGTCATGAGGGGCAGAAGTCCCCGAACCCAGCGGGGAGCCTAAGCAAAGGAGGAGGCGGAGAACTGGGTGGAGGAAGGGGAAACTACTGCTACTGCTGGAGCTGTATTGCCCTGCTGGGTTCGGGGACTTCTGCCCCTCGTGCCGCGCTTTGCAGCCACCGGAGTCCTGCACTGACCTCTTTGGGCAACCTGGTTCTGGGGAGGAGGGATTCCTCCCAGCACCGCAAAGAGGTCTGTGCAGGGAACCGGGGGGGGGTGGGGGGAAACACCCTGGAATGCCTCCATGCTTTGCTGGTGGCCACGCCTCCTAGGCAAGTTTGGGGAGGTCCTAGGAAGCCGACCGCGCCACACAAGTACGGGGGAAGTGAGCAAGCGGGGTGGGGCAGGCGTTCTGTGACAAACCTCTTCTAACCGGTTCGTTAAGATATTTGGAACCTCTTCTACTGAAGAGGTTAGAACCGGCAGAAACCCACCACTGGGCACAGATATCTATTCAAGCTGGAAAAAGACAGCTACACCATGATAGTTGCATATTCAATTCAGCTTAGAAAGCAATGGCTCTGGGAGAGGCTGTTGATAATTCCTTCTATTAGTCTGTGTGGTTCAAATGATATCTTGAACAGCCACAGGTGAAGGAAAATGGTTATCTGTGACCTGCAGTGTGATGTGGATGTGAATTTGGGGTTTGCCTTGGAAGGACCAGGGGATAAATTTCTGCGCATCGATAAAAAACAAAATAGGCTAAGCACCCATTTACTTATTCATTTGCATGTTAATCTGCTTCACAGCACTGTGGCTTGGACTGCATTCCCAATTACAAACAAAATTAACTCTTGAATCTGACATAAATGATGTCTGTGGATTAGGTTCTCAAATTTACTCAAAACCATCGCTGGTATTAGTTTTGACCAATTTTCCCAGCCATGTGTGAATGGAAACATACTTGTACTTCCATCAAAGCAACATTTTGAAATCGGACACATTAAATGAAACCTTTCTACGTCTACGTTGCTTATTTGGTATACTCTTGACTTTAACAGCCCACAAGAGAACTGTGAAGTTTTTCAGCAACAAATAAACAAGCAGTTGAATTAATTAACTAATTTTGTTACAATGAGAAACTTCAAATCTTTACTAATCAGCAACACTCACAACTAATACAACTTCCTATGTGGTGGAACGGTCATCCTTCTACATGCCTGTGAACTAACAGTTTGTCCTTCCATCAGATTCATGATTTACACATGCAATATACTTACGCTGGCCTAAATATGGAGAATCGGTCAAATCCAAGTGCCTTAATCCTGTTTTCTACTTCACCCTAAAAAAAGAAGGAAAAAACAACCTCCATTGAATGAGATCTCTGTCTTATACATAGAAATACACAGAAGCTGAAAAGTATGCACCTCAAAATAAGGCAGAAGGAAGGATTAGATTTCAGATTTCAGATTTAGTTTATTTGTATGCCGCCCTTCTCCGGGAGGGACTCAGGGTGGAGAACAACTCAAAAGGGGGGGGGGGAATGGGGAACATAAAACACAATACACGTAATTAAAATAAACAAGAATCATACAGGCATACAAGTCGAGAGGGGAGGGGAACTCATCAACCCCAGGCCAAAACCCGGCAAAGCCAGGTTTTGACGGCTTTCTGGAAGGCCTGGAGAGAGGTGAGGGTCCGAATCTCCGCGGGGAGTTCATTCCAAAGGGCCGGAGCTGCTACAGAGAAGGCCCTCCCCCGGGTGGTAGCCAGATGGCATTGGCTGGTAGACAGAACCCGGAGGAGGCCGACCCTGTGTGATCTAACGTGTCTTTGGGAGGTAATTGGCAGCAGGCGGTCTCTCAAGTACCCAGGTCTGAAGATCCTCATATGACGGAGGAGATATACCTTCTTAAGCACTATTAGTTTCCACTCTTAGAATTATAAGCTGCAGACAAAAACTAACTTGCAGGCTCTGTAATGGTAAAATTTGGCAAACCATAGATCCTCAGCCAAGGAATGTCTTTCTTGTGAAAACTTATTGCCGCCTACATTATGCTGCAGGTCATAATGTAGCATTTTCCTTTGAACAACATGGAATAATAATTGTAATAAATAACAGTATCTTCTGGAACCAGTGCTGTAAATGGAACTTGTTTCCTCTGCTGAAGCAATATTTATTGGGGCTGTTGGGACTTGCCACTGAATGTAGCTAGAAGGCATCAAGTTGCCTCTTATGGAATTAGAGTGGTAGACTATGCCTGGGAAAACCCAAATTCAAATTCCCAGCTCTGCTTAACTATTTCACAGGGAGTTGGCTTAAATTAAGAGTAAAGAACCAAGTATATAATCATGACTTCCTTGGAGGATACATTAAATAAGCCTCTTTCTCTGTCTAATCCCAAATGGCAACAGAATGGAAGATTTGGCATTTTGTATATCAAGATTAAACAGAACCTGGCTTCAAGAAACCCAACTCTGAAATCCGGTAGTTCTCTCACCCATTGCTTATCTCATTTTGCAGCCCATCAGACATACCTTGGTCTTTAGGTAGAGGAATGTGCTGGAGCTATCTGCACCTTTGCTTGACTCTAGGATAAAGTGATGGCAGCCACCAGCTTTGGCTAGCTTTGCTGCATGTTCAACATAATCACGGTCAACACGCACAAATCCATCCTGTATAGAAAGTAGCATTTACTTATTTGCAAAAGTCACCCCTTTACAATCACCTGGAATAAGTTAGTGCTTATTTGAAGCATCAAGAAATGACCTATCAAGAATTATCCAACTTGAGACTTCATAAGCCGTGTTTACGACAATCAGGCAACTCAAAAATTGCTATTAATTTTAATGTGGAAGAAGGAAAAAAATAAATACATGCTGATCTGAGAATAACATAATACATAATCATGCTTAATTAAATTGTAAATGTAAATGCAAATTAACTGAGATCAAATTTGTTTTTTGATGTGTTGAATTCTTCTCCACCCTTGTCATGCACTCAAATTAAGTGCAACCTTTGGTTCATCCGAGGTGCAAGATAACTCCCAAAAAATTAAACTTGTAAACGGCCAATACAATGCACAACTTGGGTGACTTGGATAAAATTCTGTGTTAACTATGATAATTTGGAAAGATTGCATGCAAATTGGGTTACCATGGGCAAAAGATAAGCTAAGTTGATATGCATATCTAGCTCCTTGGAAGAAACATAGTAGAGTCAAATGTCTAAACTCTTCACACCTGTTCATCATCAGGCTAACTCATTCCCTCAAAATGCCAAGTACCCAGTTCAATATCCTATCTCAAGTTCCCAAGGAACTTATCTTTTCCAGTTTGATTCCTCCAAGTATACTGAAGTCCAATTACAATCAGTCACCTGAGTCACTCAAACTATAGTCCAATATAGTTGGAGAATGCCAAGTTGGGAAAGACTGAAACAATCCATGAAACCCAACTTACCAGCAAATTCCACACTAGGATGTATTTTATACTTCTTAACTTCCTCTCAGTCTTCCACCTTTCTCAATTCCTCCCTGACCCAGGTATTGCCCCCTTTTCCTCCTCACCGCTCCAGCTTTGGCTCTGCTTGTCCCCAAGCAGCAAAATCCTATGTCATGTCCTTGGAAGGCAGCAGCAGATTCATCTAGCTTCTCAAAGTCAACAACTTCTTGGACCTGGAAACAGACACCCCAAAAAATCAGATGTGAAAGAAAGAACGGGAGACTCCAATGGAGAAAATGAAATTTACGTGTCTCCCTGCTTCCCAAAACAAATGAAGACAGAACATCTCCTGACTAACAATGAAATTTCAAATCATGTTGAGAAATTATCAATCAACAAATAAAATGCACATATTAAAATGCACAACTTGGACGTCAGAGAAGGAATGCTGAAGTTTCCATCCAGATGTGGTGTGATAAGAGGGAGTATAGAAGCAAATGTTTTCTGCTAGGCTCCCTCCTTGTGGAATAAACTATACTCTGAAATAAGAAAAGCACCTTCATTGTTGATGTTAAGAAGCTAGCTAAGTTATGGTTATTCTGGACAGCATTTAGGAACTGAAGAATTGAATAGATTCATGTATCTGAGATAAGTAATGGATATTGGCAATAAATTACTGTGTTAGATTGTGTTACGGTGTTGATTATATATTACGTACTTGTTCTTTTTCATTTAACTTTACTATATTTTCTTATATTGTCTTGTATATCTATGTCTGTTTCCAAAGCACCTGAGGGCAGGACAAGAAGCAATGGATGGAAACTAACCAAGAAGAGACTTAACCTAGAACTAAGAAGAAATTTCCTGACAGAACAATTGATCAGTGGAACGACTTGCTTCCAGTAGCTGTAGGTTCTTCAACACTGGAGGCTTTTAAGAAGAGATTAGACAACCATTTCTCTGAAATGGTATAGGGTTTCCTGCTTGAGCAAGGGGGTTGGATTAGAAGGCCTCCAAGGTCCCTTCCAACTCTATTATTCTATATATCTATATCTAAACAGTTATGTAAATCAGTTAGATTCTTTTATTTTTATTTCAGACTTTTATTTCAGATACTTCTATGCTCCTTCTTTCAGTTAAAAGTGCCAGTAAGCTAACTTAAGAGCTACACCATATAAAAGAGGCTCCAGTCTCTTGAAATACAGGCAACTTAGTATGATGGAAAAGGCTGAAGAAGACAATTTGATTCCTCCAGTTCATTTTTTATATGGCAGTTTTCTTTATGGCACTATATTCTTTACATTATTTATGTATTATATTATGTCCCACAAAATTAGATTTCTATTTTTTTTAACCATTTGAAGATAGTTGTCAAGCAAGTGTTGGTAAACAAATAATCATTCGGTATGCATTTAAAATTGCTTGACTTTTATATTTTGGATAGAGTATTCATTAATATTTTCAATTACTTATGTTTTTGAGAAACATTTAAAGTATATAAGATATGTAACATATAATTTATGATTATAAATATATTTCATCACATTTCTGCCAAGGAATATTGAGAGGTAAGACTGGATTTTCAGGTAGCATAAATTTACAGTAATTTTTCTGAGCACTAGGTTGAGGTTGACTATAATAATATATATCAAAAATCCACGTGGTTAGCATTTAGAATGCAAATTAGGTCCTGAGAGACCCAGGTTTAAATATCTATCAGTTCTAAAGGGAATGAGAAAGGGGACAAAAACATAATTTTTTTTAAAAAAAATGTTTTGTTTCATACCACATTATTGTAAAGAGACCCTTCAAAATTGAGCTTTCGGCGGCCAATGAGGGTCACTCGAGAGAATTTTTGCTGCTTTAAGATTTCAAGTAGCAATTCTTTCCCAGTTTCTCCAGAAGCACCCAAGATGAAAATGTTTTTTTTCTTCTGTTCTTCTGAACTGGGAACCGCCATACTGTTGAGTAAGAAGCAGCAATGACTTTTTTTAAAAAAAATGGCATTTACAGTTCAGTTCTCTATATAATGCAGATGTTAAGTCCCAAGAGGTTCAGTGACAGCTCCTCTCCCAAATAAAACCGTACAGGATTGCAGCTTCAACTTCACAAGAAACCAATTATTTGAAAACTGATAATGAAAATGAAAACATAGCCTTGTTGGGGCAAAGTAGTGTTTAATTTCTCCAAAACAAATCAAAGCAAAACCATATTGTACAGCAAAAACCCAAAACACTTTTACAATTACTGCCAGCTCATCATACGATCATGGCATGCCATATGCAAGGTTTATGACCTGAAATAAGGATAAGATTATGCTGACAGTGAACTAGGCATTATTATAGCTATATACAGGTAGTCCTCGACCTATGACCACAATTGAGCCCAAAATGTATGTTGCTAAGTGAGACATTTGTTGAGTTTTGCCCCATTTTATAACTTTTTTGTCACCATTAAGTGAATAATTGCAATAATTGTTAAGTGAATCTGACTTCCCTGTTGACTTCGCTTGTCAGAACTCAGAAGGTTGCAAAAGTTGATCACACCACTCTGGGACCCTGCAACCCTCATAAATATGAACTAGTTGCCAAGCATCTGAATCTTGATTACATGACCATGGGGATGCTGCAAGTCATAAGTGTGAAAAACGGTCATATGTCACTTTTTTCAATGCCTAAACAAATTGTTTGTAAGTAGAGGATTACCTGTACTGGTGTAAGCTGTTATATAGTAAGATTATAAGAACAGCCCAAACCAGTATATAGCTATAATATTCTGTATTTCGGAGAAAATTACTACATTTTACCTTTCCATAAGTGAAGAATGGGCACTTTTCTTTTTTCTTAGAAAGCGCACAGTATTGTATTCCGCATTTTTTTTTTAAAATCGAAGAGCGACCCAAGGAACCAAGAGGTTTCCCAGACCTTGTTGAACTACATATCCCAGAATCCTTCCCTACCGGCTTGCAGCTGCTGGGAGGTGTTCAGCAACATCCGTAGAAACCGCTCCCGGCTGTCATTTGCAACAGGGAAGGGCCGATTGCAATAATAAACAAGGAGCTACTTTTCCTTTAAGAAAAGATCTCGCTGCTGTGGAAAGTCACTGAAGACAGGCCTCGCTGTCTTTCTTTGACAACTCAGTTGCTTCTCCCCCGAGAAAGAGGACCCGAGGGGGAACCCATCGTTCTCGCACCAGGCGAAGAACCCTTCCCGGTTTCTCCTCGCTGCCCTTCCCATTTTAATTCAAGCAAAACATCCAGCAACTCTCCCCCACCCCTCCGGGGCTGCTATGGAGAGCCTCCTACCTAGCCTAATTAGATAGATAGATAGATAGATAGATAGATAGATAGATAGATAGATAGATAGATAGATAGATGATAGATAGATAGACAGATAGATAGATAGATAGAAACAAACCCTGCTGCAACCCTCTTTACACTCAGAAATACCGCGCCTCGTTTACGCGCCAGGCTCGCCAGTGGCATTTCAGGCGTCTGGACAGGCCACCCACGGGAGGGGGCTTCGCTAGCGGCGGAAGCCCCAAGCGCTCACCTGCGAAGAAAGCCTCGGAGAGACGCTCTGACAGAGGCGGACTCCTGGGTGCCGCCTCCCGCAAGGAGACGCATGCGCAGAATCGTCCTGCCGCTTTGCTTAGAAGGGATTCCCCCGCCGTGAATTGGGGTCGGGGTTCCTCTGTTTTTTTTTTCTCCCAGGGAAGAGACGAGGTCGCTGCTGGTGGCTCTTCCTCCAAGCGGGTTTACCTAAAAGGCGCTTTCGCTCCTCTTCCAAATAATTGATCCTTTTGGATTTTCTGGGAATAACCGATGAGTTTCTCCTCCCCTCCCCGCCCCCGTAATGTTTCGTTTATGACCGAGATTATCTGGAGTTTGCAAGACATCCAGAGTCTCATACAGAGGAGAGCCGCAACGAATTTAATAAGATAAACTTAGAAGTTTTCTCTGAAAATAATTAATGAAACATAGAACTGTGTTTTTTTTTAATCTGCAAGGATGGCTACTATAACTGCAATGTAGCAATTATTGGGTTTTTAAAAATCTAGCTGTTATTATGTTATTAGTTTTTTTTTCTTGAGAAAGTCAAAGGGGACGCTGTATGCAGTTGTACAGCTAAGAACTCTTAATTTGGAGACAAATTAATTGAAATTAATTAAATTGAAATGATTACATTTTCTGTGATCAGACATACAAAGTTAATTTATCTTATTTTTTTACTCTTGATTTTTTCTTCTTCTAGCCATGAAATGCAACTCCAGGACAAAGAACAACATTTAATGAAATGCTGAGAATTAAAATGAAATTTAATTTGTATGTTAAAGCTACTATTTTCCTCTCATATTGTACTATTTGGTCATTTATACATTGTTATTTGGAGGTTGGGAAGAGTTTCTTTAATCTATTATTCTTAACATTTTAATCTACTTTTAAATGGATAAAAATTCTAAGTTTTATTATTTTTCCAAGGTAAGTAAAAGGAAACATAATAAACCTTCCCAAATTGGAAATAGTCCAGTTTGATTCTTCTGTTTGTTCAACCTAAATAATTTGTTACAAGAAAACTGCAAACATCTCTCTAAATTAATTAAGCAAATATATCAACATTTAGAAACATTTCATTCTGTCAAGGCTCATATTAAATACAGTAAAATAGCAGCTTACATAAAGCTTCATAGTGTTTTCCAGCCCTCTTTAAGCAGTTTACAGAATCAACAAATTAACCCCAATAATCTGGGTCCTCATTTTACCGATCTCGGAAGGATGAAAGACTGAGTCAACCTTGAACCAGTCAAGGGTCAAACTCCTGGCAGTGAGCAGTGAGCAGAGTCAGCCTGCAATACTGCATTCTAACCATTGTGCTACCATGGCTCAAATGATGACAGGTAGTATATCAAAATAAAGAATTGCAGATAGGATCTTGGGAACTGTTGAGCCACCTCAGCAGCCAAAAATTAATTGGAAGCCAAATTAGAATGAGTTGAAATCCATAAACATAATTTAAACTCTAGAGATAAACCTGAGGATATTGGAAGAGATCTAGAAGGAGAATTGAAAAAATTTACTCAAGACATATCCTAACCTCAACATAGTTAAAACTCTGGAAATTGAAGACATCCATAGAATAAATTATTGGGTAGCATATAGGAGAAAATTGCCAAGAATAAATCTGTTAAAAGTCACATATTTCAAAGCTATAAAGATTAATTGAAAATTAATTAACTGCCTTAAAACTTGGTGATACAATTTTAAGATTTTATCATATGTATGTGTAAATATAGAGTAGACATGAGATTTTTAACAGCTGTTCTTCAGAACACAAAAAGTTTAGATAGAAACAGACAGCTAAATTTTGTGTGAAGGTCTTTGTGAATGGAGGCAAAGCTTTTGTATATTTTTTTCATGATGCTAACAGAATGGTTGAATCTTTATTGGTAACAGGGAAATAAAAATCAAGAACAGGCAGACCAAATATTGGGCCAAAATAAAAGGCCCAATGGGAATCAAGACCAAGAACAGACACAGTATCAAAAACAGGTCCAAGCAGCTGGTGCTTCTTCATAAATTAAATGTAGAACAATCATCATCAGTATCAAATATTGTTAATAGTAACGAGATGAATAACCATTCAAAATTTTAAAAACCTTGGTGAACACAGTGTGTTTTATATGCTTTCAAGTATTACATATTAAAAATGATGGTCTAGGTCTGTTGGAATGTAATCATCTTGGTCAAAAATGTGTGGCCTCTGGTAAATGGAAAAAAAATGGGTATAGCTATATGTTGTGACTCAGCAGATGTCTCCTGTGAGTCTTTTCGGGATGCAAGTTTAACAATGCAGCTGGGGCTCATTAGTGGGTCTTCTGATGTTAAAAGGACGGATGGTGCCATGCCTTGGTTGCAGGAGTCAACGTTCCATCGTTCGTTCAACATTCATTGATCATCGGTCGTGGTATATTTGAAGGACACTTGGAGAAGTGATTGATTTTCTGTAACCCTGATTCAAGGAGACACTTGGAGAAGTGA